GGTAATCGGGTAATTTTTTATAATATCATAAGTAATTATAATTTTGTGTAGTTATTTACCCATCGAAAGTGTTTATGAATTATTTCTACTCAATATTTTCTTTACCAGATATCAATTTGTAGTTTAATTTATTAAATCTCTATGCCCGAATACCGCCAAATTGAAATAGATATTGAATTGTATATTTGCGTATTAGACAATGTAATAAAAAAAAATTATGAGGCAGTGATTGAAACAGTTAGTACAAAGCACATGATAATTAAAAATTTAGATCGACATTTTATTATTTTGTTCGTAGCCTGATTATTTGGAAAAAGATAAATAAATACATAATTCATTAAAACCACGTTTTCATTTTACAAAAACTAAATTGATGATATGACGTAGGTATGAAAGGAATTGTAGTCTGGTCTATATATTAAAAAAACATTAAAAAGTTGTATTATAGTTTCCGGATGCTTACCATACCGGGGGAAAATATATTTAGAGATTGATTGATCATTCACGCATTCCTGACGATTGAATAACCTATTATCTATAAGCGACAGCCCTACGTGTTTAGGCTATTATCTCACGCTCGAGTCTCGAGTGCACCTACTTATATATTTATACTATGGCGGAGCTCTGTTGTTTAAAACTTTAAAACTCGGGATTGCTGGCCTCTCGCGCCCCTAATCCCGTAAAGCCCCTCCGGTTTCTTGCGTTCTCCCAATATGAACTTAATATTCGGTGAGACGTAATAAAATCGATAAATTGAATGTGAAATATACTTTGTAAACTATACACTGCGCGGTAGCGACCTCAAAATTTCGCGCGGTCGATGGCTGAACTATGAAATACGCTGAGAAGCATTGTACTGACAAAATTAACTCCATCCTAAATTTTTGTCCATACATTCTACCATTAAAAAGACGCTCTTGGACCAAAAATGAGTGCTGGTTAATCATGCGTCCGTATATCGGACGCATAAAGTCAGCCGGATGCAGTATCATTAGTAAAAATTGACAGAGGATTTGCTGAAATGGGCCATGTCATAACATATCATCTTAATATTTAACTGATATCCATTGGAAAGCGTATTTTGTTCTGTTATAAAAAGATAACTACCTCGATCCATCATCTGTCGAATAAAAAAAGAATTTTGAAAATCGGTCACCAAATGACGAAAATATCGGTGAACATACATAAAAAACATACATCGCCGTCAAACATATAACCTTGTTGATTTTAAAGTCGGTTAAAAATTATACTTTAATTTTCATAAAACACATGGAAAAACCTTGTATGTAGACGAAAGTAATTATACCTTTTATTGTTTTACAACGCAAAGCCAAAACAAACAAAGATTACGTTTTAATAGTGAAATTACATTGTATTCAATGAATGACAACGCTTAATTGTTATAGTCCATCCGCGAAATATAAACACAACTTTATATGGGTAATAAACGTTTCTGTATATGCTTGTTATTAAGTTATAAGTTTGAGTTGTTATTTCGAAAAACAAAATAGCAGATAAGTAGTCAACCGAAACTTTTAAAGCGCTCAAATTTGTTTTAAAACAAAGAGAAAATTCTTAATTCGCTCGCGCTGCTCCACTCCTATCACTGTCATATAATTATCGTAATGTTATATATCCTATACTATATTGAGTCCTATGCCTTGCTCAATAAACGTTCGATAAAGTTTTACACAACAACACAAAAAATAATTTTACAATTCGCACCAGCCCCAAGGCAGAACAACGAGCGACACTGCGACATTGTCGCAGACAGCCGAGTAGATCTGCAGACAGTTCGGTAGTCTTACATAAATAAAAAAAATTACACTAGCAGAAACAGAATTTTATTTTCAGGTTTTTATAATCTGTCGCAGACAGATCAAAACCCTTCTGCTATGGGGCGCACCAGTACCTGAGATTAGCGCGTTCAACTAAACAAACAAACTCTTCAGTTTTATAATACCTAATAGTTTATACCCGCATAATAAAGAATCATCTACGTAAATGTGTAGGTATCTCAAAACCAATGTGTATTCTAAAAGAAGCGGATGCAGATCTTAAAAAGGTTGTGGTCTCAGCCACTAAGTGGCTAACAGGCGAATAGGGGTATGAACTCCTGCTCAAAATAGTGCAATGATATTTACCAAAATATGACGCCGTGATCAAGATTCATGTGGGCAATCAAACTCGGTAGACCACGAAAATGTGACGTCTCAACTCTATTAGGGTTGCGGATATACTCATCGTGCCTATAACGGTGGATGCCCTTGTTTCTAAGCAATTTGAAGATGGCTTAGTTAAAAAAAAAATTTGAAAAGCAAATCGCTAGCGTGACCCTACACAAGACTGTCAAGGTCATTATCTAATTCGGTGCCCCACGGGAACATATTATGCTGATAGCATGATGGATGACATGCGACATACCAAATTGGTTTGCGCATTATCAACACGTTACTATTGCTTTAATCCCAAATAAAATAGCTACTAAAGATATTGCAATAATGCAAGAAGTATTAAATAAAAAAGCACATGTGTGAAGTTTTTCGTTTTACACAATATTGGTTTTATTATCTTGTATTATATAGGTATTCGTCAAACCTTGCAATTGAATTTTAAAGTAGTTATCCTCAACCGATTAAGCTTAACTCATACCTACAGTAGGCCAAGATGTTTACGTAATAATTGCATCTTAATATAATCTCAACTAGTTGTATTTTTCCATTTTACAAACTATCTACCTGAAGTCAACGCAAATATTACAGATTCGGGCGCATATAAAAAAAAAATCCGTACCATTATCCATAAAAATGCATCATAATCACATTGTTGTAACGGAAACCCTTAAATATTTATTTTATTCTTTTATAGAAGGCGCCAGAAGGCAACAGGGAAAGGGCGATGGAGGCCCGAGTGAAACGCCCGAGTAGAAGCCAAGTCAGACCTCTTCAGCACAAGAGGGAAAGGGAGAGATTGCATATTAAAACAAATATTTTTACCCTCTGAGGCCAACGCTGACAACAGGCCATGCATTGCACAGCCTCTTTTGTCAGAAATTCATGTGTATCAGTCTCTTCAACCCGTATTGAGGGGATCGAAGGTACCCAACCCACTAAGTGCGGTTCACCTTCCAGGTTCCCGAACACAATTACAAAAGTTCCTTGTTGACTAAAGAACCCTGAGAACATTTATAGTTGAAACCGTGTTGAAACATCAACCTCTAGTGGTGATTGAACCTTTAGAGTACAAGAATGTGTCTCAAATAATGACGAAACTACTATGTATAAACTACAAGGACTATGTGCCTACATATATTAACAACTCAATAAAGAACAATATTAAAATGTTTGTAGTATGTTGCAAGTCAATTGCTAGCCTCGTTTATCTGATATGATAAGTATATTGCAGACAAGTTCTTTATTAGACTGATATGATGGTCAAAGAACAATTTATCAACTATAAAATGTACCTCATTAAATTCAATGTTATGCAATGGTCATTTAATCCTATCATTTTCATGTTAATTAATCACTTAATATTATTAATTTATTTACACTTCTTTGCATGCATAAACTGTACAAACGGTGGACTTAATGCTTAGCTATTCTCTACCAGTCAACCAGATAACTAGGCATATGTTATAGTGCATCTATGTTTAGCATTTAATAAATTAATAGGCTCTATTTAATGCAAGAAGTGTAAATAAGTGTGTAGTTAGCGATTCAGGTTGTAAATGTGTTAATAAATTGAAAATATGATTCTATTGCTAATTATAATGTTTTTGTGTACCAGAATTACATTAATAATTAGTTGCTCAAAACAACTAATCCAGAGATATCTCATGCATGTATACCTAGTTCATAATAAAACGGGATTATGCATTTAAAAAATGTAATAGTCTGGAGATTATCTCTGTCTTACTGTGAAATTCACAAAATTTCTTTATGATATTTGCACATTATAATGTAGCACTATTTATCATGATCATGTTGGAGAGTGGTACACAATGAAATTTATTAAAACATATTACTAAGCAAAGATTACTTTTTGAATTTATTTACTTACAAGATTAGTACAATGAAAAGTCCAATAGTACATGTGATAACAACAAAGCAAAAATAAAGTGAATTATTAAAAAAAAAACAATAAAAGAGAAAATTCTATAAATGAGATTTTAATGCCAGCTGTGTCTCTGATATATAGATCTTATAATTTTATTATATGTATAGGAGAACCATTGTAAAGTCAGTACACTCTGCAGAACATGTCTTTTTCTACAAAACAAAACCAAATAGCATATAGCTGAGACCTCCCTATGATTGAACACATTTCATTTAGGTATAAACAAATTACTATACATAGTTGCTCACATTTCTGATAAACTAATGCATTGAAGATGCATCACAAATAACATAGTTTCAGACAGGCATTTAATGAAAGTGCCATCTACAACCTAAAATCAGTTAAATAATTAAGCCTTTTGTTCTGAGCCTAAAACAGATGTCAACTACTAAAGATCAAAATTAGTTTTCTTAATATTAATAAATACAATTTAGAGAAAAATTCAATACTTTTACAGTATACCACAAATGAAAATGGAGGGATATATTTGTATGAAATAAACAATTTCATACAAAATAGATGTGATAGTATGGTTTGAATAAATAACTAAATTATGTGATTTTTCTATAATTTCACATATTAATTATATTTATCACTCAAATATAGTAATTTCAAAGAATAACTATTTCTTATTTCTCTAAAAGGTGTCAACCAAAAATTATAACTCAATTTAATGTTATATAAGTATGTAAATAAATATCATGTAAAACATAAAAAATATACAAACTTATATTCATAATTTTACTTTAAGTAGGTTACTATTATGTTATTATTAACTTATGTAAACTTAAATATAAATAAAATATACAAAGCATTCAAACAATCATTGGATAATAATTAACAACTATTTAATTATTATCGAATGATTAAACTTTACTTACCAGCGAAAAAGAAGAAGAAATGCGCTTTAATGGGTAAGAGTCTGCGGTCAATTTTCAACTTCATATTTAATACAATAGTATTTGAATTACGAATAAATTCTTCACAAAGTTTTGTAAATTTTTATGATAAACTTGTTTGTAACTTGAATTGGGGTCACTGTTCGATTATTTATTGTATTTATTTAGTAATAGATGCTGTATCACAGATACTTTATTATCTCCTTCATTACGAATACAAACTAGTATCCTAGCGTACGTATAATGTTTAAAAATAAAAAGTAGAGCAACAAATTTTAATTTATTACTACATTTCGATTCTTCAGGGACAAGACGAACAACCAAACCACACAAAGAAAACATAAACACTAAAGTGACACCACAGACTTAAGAGTGACACTAAACCACTTAACACACACTAAAAAATAATGGTGTGCGGTAACGATTACCATTAATCGAATAATCGATTTTACAAGTAATCAGTTGCTATTGATTATGATATCCTAATCGTTGATTAACCATCGATTATTTCTCAAAACGTTAGCAATAGGAATAGTTTAAAACGTTAGTATAGTACCTACTTACTTTACTTCGATGGATTATTAGTAGATATTCTATTACTTATTATGGCAGCCCTGGAATACTCCCACAAACAAATACAAAGTTCACTATTACAATGTTTTTTTTTTTTTGTATAATTTGGCAGGTACGGCTTATTGCACTGTTATTAATTCAATCGATAATTAATATGACATTCTAGTCATGTTTAGCGTTGTATGGAACTTTAAAAAAAGAAAAAAACAATTAATACATTTTATGCAGTCTGTGTGGAAAAAGATATAAAACCAGAGTCAATACGTTGAATTTAGTGCGTATTATGCGTTTCTCCAACTTAAAAATAAAAACACAAGGTCAAGTGAAGTGGATAATATTACACGAAGTTCTTCAAAATCTAAGATAACTACAGTGTTAAGACTTTTTCTTCATATCGGACCGATATATCGAAATTTTTGAATTAAAATATTGACATCGATATTGATATTATCAAAAATATCGAAATCACTACGTACCGATACTTTATTGCATTCCGACATCTCTACCATAATACATACAGTATTAATCTAACCATAGACAGAGAAAGCAATAGACTGTAGTTAGGTGTGTCACCGTAAGGGACGACAAATATATGTATTATCAATGTTACTAGATAGTTAAATGTTCCTACATTATGGGGAGATATTTTGTCATTTGTAAAGGAAGAATAATTTGGCCAGCATAAATTGTAGAAATATTCAGAAACTATCAACTTTTCTGTGACTTCATCCGCGTATGGTGTAACTTCTCGTAGGTGAAAGAATTAATAACGGAAGAACATTTATTGTAGAAATATTGATAAAGTGTCTATAACCTTAAACTAGCTAGCACATATAATCAATGGATTTGCTTGCTGTGGTTTTACAAATAATATTAAGATTGAGTAAATTATAAATTTAGTAAAAAAAGTCGAATTTAAACAAAGAAAGCTATTTCGATAATTTATTGAAACCAAATTTGAAAAATAAATAGACGATAAAAAAAATTGTTTAAAAGAAAATAACGTATATACGTTATTTTTGAATATATATTCAATGATAAAATTATTAAAACATTTTAATTGCTGTTTCTAGATATATAACGATAGACTTAGGCGATTGCTCTCCATGTCATCCTTTAATCCCAAATTTAACAGTCCGTAATATAACGCTATTTATTAGATTATACAAATATTAAGTAAGGCAAATAAGAAACATTGTGGCGATGTTGGGCTAACGTCAGTCCAGCAGCGCCTCTGTATATTTATTTAGTCAATAGCACTTAGGAAGCCCATTTTTAAAAACCTTATGTCATTTTAGTATCTGATAAAACGTTGAAACTGTTGACACAGGTTGACATTCCGCAGATCTTAGTAACGACAAAGAATTTTATCATTCTGACTACTCCAATCGTATATTCCATTCTCATATTTTGTGACGAAACACTGATAAATACTGATATCCAGAATATTAATAATTATGAATCGTAAACAAATATGTAACGCCACATCGATAAGGACAACAAATGTTTTATATCACACTTTCATAATAAGTAATTTCATTTTCCGATGACTGAGATAGAACATACCATTAGTCTATTGCTTTCGTTGTCTACAAACCTAACAGATTAAGTAGTGGTGTCTTTATCTTGCGATTTTCTTGATATCGATATTTAAAGAGGTATAAATGGGGACTCGTTTTAAAATACTTGGTTCACAAAAAGATTATGTAATATGAAAATAAATAAAACTCGTGTTCAAAATTTAATGCAAGCAAATGTTTAAATATGTAGTCAACAATAAAAAGTAACATCAAACTTAACAATAACAATTTATTTGACAGCCAACACTAAGTCCGTGAATATTATTTTTAAATTAAGGGTTCACATGGCTAGATCCATGAACGTCGTCTATGTAAGCATTGGTCGAGCGCACTCAACAGGTCGGGCCTCTTATTTTGTGATGACTACATATATAAAATATATATATACCTAGGTATTCATGAGTTAGAGTAATGTTATTTTATAAATAGAATAATAATTATAAATTTCATGATCTCAATACGAGTTAAGTAACGTCAAATTTTAAGTTTAATAATCATCTTAACAATGCAAGTTCAACTAATAAAATACATCTCTGTATAGACTTGATTCCTTAATTTAAACAAACGACACGTGTCAGATTGGCAGGATTCTCAATTTTTTATCTTGTACCAATTTATTTTATTTTTTATTTACAAAAATATTAATTCATTCGGTTTGGCCATTCCCACTTATGAAGCATTAAAACAAATGGGAAAATAAATATATTAAATGTTTAATTTTCTTAATAATAGAAGTTCAACTAATAAGAGACATGGCTGTATAGACTTGATTCTTAAATTTAAATAATTGACAAGTGTCGGATTGGCGGGATACTATAGTTTTTTTTACCGTATAATAGTTTTATTTTTACTTTGTTTTCTATTTACCTTTAAAATTATCTATTTGGTTTGGTTGTTCGCACTTATAAATCGTTAAAGCAAATGGAAAAATGAATGTATTAAATGTTTAATCTATATATTAAAGAAAACAATAAAAAAAATATTAATGTTCTATGTTGAGAATTTTAAAAACACCCAAATTTCAACATTATTGTTGATCGTCTTTTGTCACTGGAGAAATCTTATAATGTCCTCTTTCGGTCGTGATAAAATCGAATGAAAAAGTATAAAATATGGACGAGGAAGACTGTGTAGGTTGCATCAGTTGCATGAGCACAAACGATTTATGCGACCTGTTTGCTGTATATGCTGATAATGATGAAACTTATGCGAAAATGTTTGAAACCTGCTTTGATATCAAGGTAGTTTTTTTACGAATATCTTTCAAGTACCTTATATTAAAAAACGTCATAGCTTCCAAATCACTGTCTCCTTCATTAAGATTTAAAAACTTGTGTAAATCAGCAAATATTCCATAAATTACAGACATTACAATTTCCAATACCTTATTAAATTTTGCAGGTAACATCAGATTTAAAATACATATGTGCTATATGTGCAGAAAATTTAGAGAAAGCAACTGCTTTCAAGGAGCAAACCATAAAAAATATGTCTGTTCTTCAGAATCTAAAAGGTAAAATAAATAATATACTTGGTGATAATATGCATTAAGGTATTTGGATTTTCATGTAACTGTTGAATGTAAAAACAAATCCATATTTAATTCTTTACAAATTATGTAAAAAAAATCCTTTTTAAAGCTATTTCTTTTATTTTAGCTATAAGTTATATTAATTTATTTGTATAGATAAATATAATAAATAGCAATGTTTTTTGTAGATGAAGAATATTTAGATGAAGCAATGCTGGAGGAAGAGGACTGTGCCAGTTCAGGTAATTCTAAAACTAAAGGGTCGAGAAAACATAATTCGGGAAATGGTGATGATGATTCTGTATATGGTGAGTTGTATTTGTTTTGTGGTTAAATTATGCACAGTTAACTTATATAGAAAATTTTACATTTATATCCTTAGTTGTAAACAAAAACTGCCTAAGTTATGTGTGGTCAGAGTAGGATTAGTCACATAGCAAATGGTATGAGCCCCCCGCAATTGAAGCCTCACTGTGGTTCACATCCAATAAAATATTTTTTAAAGTCAGATTAATTGTGTTGTGTTATTTAGAAAGCAAAAGATGACTTTTCTATTTTGAAGGGGGGAGGTTTTTAAAAAACTTGCTACAGGCCCTGTGCTAGTTTAATATGGCACTGGTTGGTTTTTAATAACATATCTCAAATGGAGAGACGGGGGCATTACAATTTTGCCATGATACTGATAAATAGTACATCTAAGCTTGCCAGACCCATGGCACCCCTGGTTTAATTAGTGCAGTGCTCTTGAATGTTATAACCTATATTACCTAGTAATATAAATATTGGTTGCCCGAGTCTATTTGCCCAGATGTATAGTTTTAATAGAGACATGAATAGTACTAATGTGGGGCCCTTACTTTTCGCTTTAATGACAGATTGCAAGGAGCATTTACTACATCCTGTTAATCCTAATTAAATTGCAAATACCACAATGGGACCCCATCAAAGTACATTGTGACTAAGAAATAGGCGCAATTAACGCGTTATTAAAAGTGTCGCCCAAAATCACGGTAAAAGGATGTTTCTATCACTGAACGCGAAATATATGGCGAAAAGCTAAGTCTTTGAGACACACAAAAACAAAGGCTGAAAGAAGAATTGTGGGCCTAACAGCAGCTTTACCACTTCTTCCTTCTGAGAATATTCGGGAGGCTTTTGAATATGTCAAATCCGAATGTATTGTCGATTTGAATAAATTCGTCAATTATATACAAAAAGATTTTGGCTCAACGTACATTTACCTGCGATTTTTAGCGACGAATAACGTTCTCGAAGGTTACCACTGCAAATTAAACAAATTGATCAATAAAAATACTTTTACCGTGATGCGTTTACTAAATGTAATGCAGAATATCCACAATTTGAATGCAGTGCCTAAAAAACGGAAACAAGCAGACATTAATAATGATGATTTATTAGCGCAAATTCTATTGTAATTTCTGAACCACGAAATTACATTAGGCCACTGCCTACTTTACAATATTAAATATACCTACACTTTATTGATTATATTACATACTAATAACTAGTACAAGTTGATTATTTCTGATTGTACAGATCTATTTAGTGTGGCTTATTATTATTAATTTTTTTTTATCTTATTATATATTTTCTGAGGACAGTGGCGCTGTACGCTTAAATAAAGGTATCAACCAAGTTCAGCAACAGATGATAAATAGATGTTAATGAAAAATATTTTAAGAATCACTGGTGTAAAAATTCGTTGTATCGATTATATATAGTCAATAAAGATTATTATTATTACGTTAAATAAATATTAAAATTAAACCATAGTATTTATTTTTACCGACAGTGATAAATCCATCACTGATCCACCGCTTTTCGTACGGTGGTTTCATGGGAACTACTAAAATAGAACTATTGATACCACTGGTACACTGTTATATAGATTTGAAGACTGGGGTGCCATGGGTCCGAATAAAAGTTCCCATGGCACCCCCAGGGGTGTCCTCCAGGGGAGCCTTGGGTCCGGAAGGCATCAAAGTACTAGGTAGATGCCTAAGGTTACAAAGTTCTATTGCGCTTACCCCCCTTGCCCACAAAGGCAATCATGGTGAAAACTATTAAAAAACCATTATCAATTATAGCTATTCTGTTACACACTAAATATGTTACATACTAAATCGCTATTGTGAAATCAAACAACTAGTTAAATCAAATAATGCTCAGAACGCATTGTGACTTTTCTTCATTGCCACATTGCGTTGAGGTTGAATAGCATGTTCGCCAATACACGTATTTCGCTATGTGGTTATTCAGCGATTGCCACAACGCGTCAGAGTTTCCATTAGAGCCATAACACGAATTTCGTGGTTATTCTACAAATGAACAATTTTTTTCGCTCAATGAGCGATTTCGATTTTTGAGCGTAACATATTCACTAGTTATATAGTACAACGGCAAAATGAAAATTGTTGAGAATCTGTTGACATGCAATTATTACTTAAAATTTAAGAGAATTTTCCTGCTGTAATTCCGAACTTGACCCCCTTCAAACAAAGTTAGAAACTGTCTCTTTTGTAATTATTATTGTATTTGATAGATGATATAGACGACGAGCACGCAATCCAAGCTTTAGACGAGACCACCTGCATATATTGTTCGCTGCAGTTACCGACAGCTGAACTGGTTGCGGCTCACATACGTAGTGCACACGAGCTATCTCCACGCACTGGTCGAAGGCTGCGTGAGTGTACACACTGCGGATTAGCGATGCCTGATCCTGCACAACATATGGATAGGTACGTTTATCGTCTGGTCTCCTTCACTAGCAGAGGGTACATAAGGGTTTTGGAGGCCTACGGTGATGGAGAAGAGTCCCATACCCACCCGCCGCTCGCCAGGCGGCAAGGATCGTGCTAACAGCATTTCCCCGACATATAAAAAAAGTTATGTTTATCGTTATGGTTCATTGTTTCTAATTTACATAATAAAAGTTTTGTATTAGTGAATGTTTTATTCAACTACTTAGTAAACTAATAGGCATTTAACTGTTAAAGAATGAATGTACTTTGTTGCACCTATTAAAATATTTCTATATAATGCATAATTAGGACAAAGAAAAAGACGGCCTTAAATCTAAGGTAGCGATCTCTACCAGGCTACCTTTGCTCGCAAACTATGTATACCAATAGTGTCAATGAATCATGTTTTTAAGCTTCTTATCATTCTGTTAGGTGTCACAGTATAAAGTCAGAGATTGAGGGCAAGAAATATCCGTGTCACTTCTGCGACAACATTTACAACAGCAAGAAGGCATGCTTCACACACTTGAGGATGAAACATGGCTGTGAGTATCAATAAATTATCCGTAGGTATACTTAGGAGCAGGGTTTGCAAAAATCCGATATTTTTGATAAATATTAAAATATCTGATATAAGTATATTGGATATATGTATATCATGCTAGCTGCTAGTGGCTTTATTTGTAATTTTAAATCAAAAGTTCGTATAAAGGTACTATTGTCCATTTGTGACGGAAAGATCTGTTACTTTGCCATACTTGAGGTGACGCCATAACTTCCGTCTATATCATGGGGTGAAAATTATGGCATCACCTCAAGTATGGAATAGAAATGCGACAAGCTAGATAATGCGACCGCATAAACTTTATATGCTTTATTTTAAATTCATAGTAAGTATGATCATGCGTCACATTAAGGTAAGCAGCTCAAGTGGCTACCCATTCGCCACCGTAGAAATATCAGGATTATCTGCCTTCTGTTCAACATTCTGTATAATCCCGCCTATCCTTCCTATCTGCGTGAGCATTTCTTCTTTCTCCTTTCTCCCTATGCTCTTTGCAGACCCCATTTTAAGTCCGTTATTTTAAACTCCTTCACACAAAACAGATTTTGCTTCATATTCCTTCACTGTTCCTGTTGCTAGACTCGGGAACTCTCTACTTGCCGATATACGTGACAGTCGCACTATTTTGTTTAAAAAAAAAGAGTGAAGGAACGAAGTTATCTTTCTTGTTGATGTTGGAGAGTGTAGGTTTTATTATAATTTTTTTTATATAATGTTTGCATGATTATGTATTTATATTTTTTCATTCCCAGTATTTGTATATATTTATATATTGCGTATTAATTTTATTTAGGATGGACTAGCTTACTGTATTTTTTTTCCTGTTGTGGGCCTACTACTTAGTGTAAAAAAATCCATTTAAAATAAGCCTTGTAAGTCTGTTATATTAGTTCATGTGAAATTGTATGTGTGTACAAAATAAATAAATAGCTAACGACCAATTAAATCATGGTCAGTACTTATTGAAACAAAAATTCAAACCAAGTAGGGTAACCATCATTCCAACATAATCAGAGATCTTCATTCCTCACTGATCCTTATCCTTTCCATAATCCTATTCATCTATAGTGAAACTGTGCACCGATCAGACGCCCAAGTATATTCCCAAGGAACGCAAGAAGTGTCATATGTGCAACAGAGATTTTAGTCAGAAGCAAATATTGAATAAACACCTATGGAAAGCTCACGGGTTTGAGGTTTGTATTGATGGTCTTAGAATACCAATTAATGGATATTACATTACATAAATTCTTACAAATTTATATTATATAATTCTTACAAATTTATATTATACTAGTGGACGCCCGCGACTTCGTCCGCGTGGAAGTCGGTATCCCGTGGGAGTGAGAAGTTTTCCCAGTAAAAAGTACCCTATGTGTTATTCTGATGTATAACCTATATTGCTGTAAAGTTTTATCCAAATCCGTCCAGTAGTTTTTTCGTGAAAGAGTAACAAACATCCATACATCCATACTTACAAACTTTCGCCTTTATAATATTAATAGGATAATATGAAGTGTATATTTCAGTTATATAACCGAAAAAAATAAATTGTCGCAATAACAGATTTTAAGAACTCATCAAATTAGGCTCGCCAAGATAAAATTATCGAAATGCTATAGCTATAGCAGTTTTATTGTATGACAAAATAATAAGAAACAAAATCGCATTTTGCCTATGATTTTTGTTATGATAACATTTAAAATGTTATATAAGTATGGCTACTTCAAAGCCTTTTTATTTCTGAAAAAAGATCTTGTCGCATTTTTTCTTAACTTAAATCACGGTTACTTTAATGATGTATAAGGGCAATGAAGATTTATCTTCGTAGGTGGAAAAACGTAAAGCGTTTATTTGCCCTTTATGCGATGAACGCGTCAGCTACGGGTCACACTTCAGTGCTCACCTGTTACACGCACACCGAGTGTACGAGCAGGTGGAGGAGCTGGAGTTCTTCAATGTAGATGGTGAGTCTTATGACCTCGGTAATAAAGATTATTTTAAACATGTTAAGATTTTGACAACACAAATTAATGAAAACCTATTTATAAGATTTTTTTGTCTAAAATAAGAGCAAAGGCGATATCGTAAGTGCAACACTAAAACGCACTCACAGCGTCGTAGAAACTAAGGCATGCAAAAACCGGGCTTTCGAAAGAACCGGTTAATATCGGTTTTCTCTATCAAAAAATCCAGTTAACCGGGTTTATTGGTTATTTCGGTTTTTCTCTTTTATTCTTGATACAAACCTAAAATAAAAGAATAGATGGGTGAAATGCGTAGATTTATAATGAAATTCGGTTTATTTAAATGAAATCAGTCCATTACATTAAAGGACCATTTATTTCATCGTTATTTCGTGTCTGGGATCGGCTTTAAACAATTGCCTTCTGGAACTTTCGACGGCAATGTTACTCCTTGCTCTGAAACTATCAAAACCCTTGGACTTGTGTTTGATAAATAGTTCGCTCGGGAACACCAGGTGGAAGCAGTCGGAAAGGCCTGCAGTATTTCCTACCGACCAGCACTAAAATTACCTTGGCACACTCTCTTATTATCTATTATTGCTACGACGTTGTACAGATCTACCGGAGAAGTTTCTTAATACCCTTAAGCATCTGCAAAACAAACACAAACCTTTTCAATTACCTTGAAAAAAAAAAGACGAAGTAACCGGTTTTTGCTTGTATGAAAAACCCGTCTTTTTTCGGTTTCTAATTAATTTTTTAAACGTTTAATGCGTAACAGTATTAATCAAAGTATATACATATTTTCAAGTAATTGAATAACAAGTATCTCATCGTAGCCTAAAATTAAAAACGGCACTGAGATATTGAGTATGTATTAAATTTTGCCATGGCAGAATGGATATTAAATTTAGACCGATATTATTCCAGTTAGTTGAGTGTGGTAATAAATTAAAAAAAGAGCACCATCTTTTCTTGGTCAGTTCAGTTAATATTTATCTATAGCACAAAAAATATTAACTTGCAATAATTGTTATTGCGTTTTGTCAAGATTTCATGCTATTCAAGAGCGCTATACAAGAGGAGACAAAATACAGATTCAGAAAGACGACAGCCAGCAAGCAGACTATAGAGGGCGTCCGGTCTCATTATATGTGCAGTCAATCAGGCGTCTACGTGTACCAGGTTAAATGTTGGCATAAACACACAAAACTTCATTCACTTCAAGAATTAGAAAGTATTAGTCAGTGGCGGTATTACTACTTGATATTGTGTTTACACCCCGTACAGGTGGCGGACCCCCCCCCCCCCCCATTCCCCTCCCTTAGTCCGCCGCTGGTATTACTATACACTTGTCTATAACGAAACCGAACAGAATCTGTAGTACCTAAGACTTGAGGTGTATCTAAACTGTATAAGATTTTAATTAAATCTCGCAATGATTTTTCTTTATTTTAACGGTTTCCAAATTCTTTTCCCAAAATGTCAAGTAGCCAATTATAATTACTCTCTGAAATCGTGTGAATATTTAAATAACTGTATGAAACTGGGCAATAAAAACAATAATTTATCAATTATATTTATTTACTATACTTAGGGTAAAGGTAAGCGTCCAGCGCCGGAGCGACAGATATACAAGACTGGTAAAGCTTGTCCAGCGCACATGATTGTAACAGAAACCATGGATAGAGTTCTCGTCACATTCTACAAAACGCACGTCGGTCACGGTCGTGAGTATATGTCACAGTACAATTGTAAAAATTCTCAGTTTATAACCAGTTTTATCTCTGAATAATATCGCAGGGGGCGCGTAATACCCGGGCCTCTGTTCCTGGCTCCGCCTAATGGCTGCAAATTCCCTTGATCATTCATAAATTAGGGTTGGAGGCCCCGTAGACAAATAAGTACAGCCTGTAGCGGTAGTTTAAATTTTTTTATTAAAATAATAATAATAATAATGTAATAAAGTTAAAAACGTATGCGGGGTGATTGCAAGTTAATAAACGACATCACGTCCTTAGAGTCGGTTGTCCTTTACGCGGTTTATTTAAACATTTAAATGTCTTAAATTATTTTGGGTACATAATAAATTTTATTTTGATAAAATAATATTTTTATGGGAATCAGCACACACACTGACTAATTTAAAACCGTTTTTAGAGAGATATCCATTCCCCTATTTAGGGAGGTGAGAGATTTTTAATTTAAACAACAGAACAATTCTATTTTTTTTAATTTAGAACATAGTAGCTACCTTCAACCAAAACTTTTGTACACGTCCACAATACTAAAATTTTATCATATGGAAACGTTTGTATTTATGAAATTATTACAAAATATCTAAATGATTCAATTTATTGTTTGTTTACTTGCTCTTGACTACCATAAACTACCACCAGTTCGAAATTTGGGAATGTTGCTGAGTTTTGTTGTAAATAGATACTCAATATACACAGAACGATACAAACCTACATGTTTATGCCATAGACATAAGGGTTTATGCAGACACGGCTTAGTAATCGAGAATAAGAGCTACTACACAGAGATGGTTTTCAGTTAGTGTTCCAAAATAGGTAAAAAAAAATTTATAGTACACTACTCCACGTATGTGCTGTCTTAGAACATCGAATATTTTGTCAAATGTTTGCCAGCACTATGCCATGTTGGTAAGTGAGTTGGCTCAGAAATAAAACTGAGGCGTTATTTCTTGTAGCTGTATTGTTGATCGAAGATTATAATATAAAAAATATTGAGTATGTGAAGCTATTGTACCTAATTCGTCAGTCCTGTTGGATGCTGAGTGGTTAGAGCAGTCGCCCGGATTATGAAAGGTCGTGGGTTCGAGTCCCATTTCAGAGTACCTGGGGCTGTTGGATTTTTTAAGCATTTTTCATTAAGAATATTTTCCAGTTTTTTTTTCCCCCATAGCATTGTGAATACAAAACTGATCAAATATAATAGATTTTAAATATATTTTAAAGTGATGTTTTGTAATGTCGCGGCAGCTTGTCCATACTTCGAGCCGCGCGAACCAAAGAAACCAAAAACTGGACACATGATGACACTGGAGGACACAGAGGTGAAGACCGAGGATGAGATCAAGAATGACGACGACGCCAACGATGTGAGTGTTTCATCATTATCATCAGCGGCATGAAGAATGAGCTTAGTATGAAAAGGAATATAGACAACTTTTTAAATATTTTTATTTTATAGATATACATTTAAAATATAAAAAAATATATAATTAATAATAAAATCGATTATCTCTCTTAGAAATGAACTCAATGATATATAGTTTTTGTTTATATATTTTAATTACCACATCACTATAAACTTCAAATCCCTAACGAGAGTCGAGAGAATGTTGAGTGCACATGAAGCTTTTTAGTTGTAATACGAGCCTTACATCTTACATCAGTCCAACTTGTAAAGTTTCACGAACACGTGACTAATGAATAAATAAAACTTGTAAATAAGTTATTACATTTATTAAAAATTGTACTCGTATTAACTAAGTTCATCCTAGTTTCTACGTACGGGAATGATCGATCAAGCTAGTGAAGTGAAAGACTTAGGACTTTAGTTGCTTTACATTAGGCAACTTTTTTAGTCTGGGGGCGTGGCTGAGCGTCAAAAGAAATGCGGGGGGAATTCCCCCCGCATTTCTGTTGACGCTACAACAACAAATACTATGGGAGCTCCCATACAACAAATGTGATTTTTTTGCTTGTTTTCTGTACGGAACCCTTCATGTGCGACTCCGACTCCCACGTGGCCAGTTTTTTTATGTAATCAATAAAATACGGCAATACATTAAGTTGAAATGTCGTATGACGTCACGATTTTGTACATTTTCTACAAAACTGTGACATAGGGACTTTAATGCATATTAACTATTTATTTTTAAATTTAAGCAAAAAAATACGTATCTATTATATTTCTATTATCTGACTGATGGACTAAATAGAATTTCTTTTTTTTACCCATTCATTATCCCTATAGGTTTGGTCACTTGAGTGTTACGTAACGTTTACGGAGGGGTTAGAAAACGTTACGGCGCTTTACATGGGGTGAGGGATGGTCAAAAAAATCTTCAAAAATAATTGAATGGCGTCTAAAGCAAGAGCTGCAATAATTTTTATACTATTCCCTTGTGTCAGGGTGAGGGATCGTGGATGTGTGACACGTGTGGTGTCGGGTTCGATGAAGAATGTAAATTCCGTGAACACGTCGCCGCACACAACCTCAATCTGTTCCCATGCCAGTACTGCGACGAGGTATCATTTTATTAATATTATAAATGTGAAAATTTCTTTATTTGGATGTTTGTCCATCAATCACGCCGAAACTACTGAATGGATTTTGATGAAATTTGGTCTACAGATAGGGTTAGATAATAGGATACTTTTTGTCCTACTAAACATTTCCCTAGGGACCACGCGGCGCTGCCGCTGGCGAAAGCTTGTACTCAATAAATATACAAACTGATAATAGACCAATTTTAGGCCCGGATCTTAAATTTTTTCTAACCGCGGCAGAAACTTCGTTTAGTGCCCTTCCTCTACCCCCTACCCGCCTAAGCTCCGGAAAGCTGGATTTTATATTATCATATTTTTATAGTGGTTGATATTTTTCTTTTATTTCATTTAGGGATTTAAAAGCATGTCCGTCCCATTGTAGCCTATGAAATTTGTGTAGCTCGAGATTTTTTAATTTTTAATAGGTATTATATAATAGTGATTTTGGCACCCCCTAACACTGAAGCCCGGAGAAAGTGCCCCCACTTGCCCTCAATAGATCCGGGTCTGACCAATTAATGTATACCACTGATTAACATGACATCTGAGAGCCTTGGGATTTCGCCAAAAAAGAATTTTTGTCAATTAATACAATTAAAGTAGATAAAGTAATATTTCTTGTGACTAAATCACGCCTATGTGACACGGCACTTCCCCATCCCCAAAGCTGAGACCCCCCTGTGAAAGACGGCCACAATAATTGTACGAAATTATATCTGTTACCCGACCGCGCTATACGGCGTTGCAAGGGACAAATTTTGTATGGAAATTCGCTTGAATGCCTCTCCACAAACCTGTATAAGTCTCATTTTGCAACATCACATACTAATTAAGTAGCTATAGCACTTGATAGAATACGGATTCAATGAAGGTACAGTCAACAGAACTTCAGACTATACAAAACTGTCAAATTTTTCCATTTGAGAGTTTAAAGTCAACTGAAGAAATTTGACTTGTCGTGGTAACTTAATGTTGATCTCGAAACTTGTTTAACAGGATTTTCAAGATTTAGAAGCTTGGACATGCCACGTCCGCGGACAGCACAATATGGCTAGTCTATTTTAGTAAAATATACTTAAAACACATAAGAATAGAGTCTATTTTTACCTTTTAGTTCGGATGATAAACATTTTTATTACAGAAGTCGATATATTGTTTCTTAACAAAATGAAGTCTTGATTATCTTTTTGTTGATGTTAATAAATATTTTTTTCTGGTAATTTGTTTTTTATTTGACCTTTTTGAATCTAAATGATATACTGATAAATAGAACTTATTCGTTAATTTTCTTTTATTTGTATTAGTATATGTATTTTATGAATTTTCTCATTCTTCTTTCTTTAATTTAATAGCCCGCAGTATCTTTACTCAATCGGTATAGTTTCTTCTAGCCAAGGGTAGCCTGGTAGAGATAACTACCTTACCGATAAGGCCGCCTTTTGCATTTATGTTCCTGATTATTTTTGTTTTCATGTTTGTTTTACCGGGCAATAAATTATATATTCATTCATTCAAAACAATCAGTCACGAGCCAGCTAGAGCCGTGACGTCGCATCTCAAATAAAATAGTGCTAGCTGCAACGTAGTGTTTAAATTCTCTTTGCTGCTGCACTCGCAACAAAACTGACGTTTATTTTATTACAATGTGACGTCACACGATCCTCCGATTTACTTTTATTCAAACAAATATACAAATGGCGGACTTAATGCCATGGGTCATTCAACTGGAGAGTTGTAGCAGATAGCTTAAAATAAGGCGGTGCAACAATGAAACACAGACAAACAGTTTATATGTGAAAAAATAAAATAACAAACTACCAATATCTATGCATAAATTAATATATATATGCATATAAACAAATAAATACATATATACTTACACAAACAATTTATCCACAGAAGAATTCAATAATGTTCGCGCAATAGACGTTTGAAAGTAAGTTTATTTGGAGCAACTTGTATGTGGTAAGGCAGTACATTCCAATCATATAGATTGAAGCGAAAGCTATCCGCTGAGAAGGAAAAGCGAGTTTGTTTGCTGTCTGAACGAAGATTACGGCTTTGAGAAGCACTTAGATACTGAAATTTACATTTCAAATATCCAGGTGCACACGGATCTTTAATTATATAATTGTTACCCATTTCAACTTTTTCCTAGAGGCAGAGACATGATCATTAGTAAACGATCCAGTTTGTTTAAAAGTTCCTGCGTGATGTCAGCACACACATCAGCATAATTAATGATAGGAAAAGAGAATTGATTATTATAGATATATGAATTTAAAAATTCTTTTCGTAATATACTTTTGCTCATGGGAACAGACAAATTTAGTATAATGACGTTCAAATATGTACACTGGCCTCGTGTAAATGGTCCATTATGCCAACCCTTAAGGACAATCAATAGCGCGTCAGGCTAAACAAAACTGTCAAATATCTCCACTTGATTTGAACCACAATGTCTTAATGGTAGAGTTTCAAATCAACTGGTGAAACTTGACATATTGTGGTGTATACCACACAGGATGTTACAGCTACCACTATAATTTAAAATACTAATCTGTATTCGTAAATCCTTTTTATTGCATTTATTTTATCACTAATTCTATAAGTACAATACAAGCTTCAATAGTTATAACAATTTGAAGATCAACTTCTAAGTCACCTTATTTATATTATTTCAAGAAGCAACAAAATTGCTTCCAAGACATTGTTGAAACACTGTGCCTAAAATAATGCCGAGAACACAATTAAAAATCGACTCAATTCCGACAAAATACGACGAGCGTCGCTTCGAGACAAAACTTTTTTTTTTTTCTATAATAGTAATCCCATTATTGACATTCATGATCTTGTCGGGTTCGAACTTTAACTGTATTGTCAAATTGTTCCTTCTGATATGTATGTAATTTACTTAAATTTTATAACAGGAACACATAACAAAGTCGATCAAAATAAATTATTACATTTAACAACATTTCTTAAATGGTTTCAAAATTCTAATTACAGTTGTAAAAATTGATTACATAACTTCCAATATTGGTTCCCTCAATAATATAATAGGTCTAATCATGAGTGACAAGCACATAGATGAGCCGTTTACCAATCACGTGGCATGCGAGCGAGCAACCAATCAGCGCATCCGTATTTCTTCTGCCCGTCCCGTACATCTCGTTACTCCGTGAATGGCTGGTTTACACGTGACTAAATAGATTTAAACTTAATTTTAAGTGATTAAATACATGAAAACATCCAAATAAGCAATAAGTAGCAAGTTAAAATGTAGGTAACTACACTGGACAGCAAAACTAAGTATCACACTTTTAAAATGGCAATAACTTTTTAAGTACACAAGATACACTATCGAAATAAAAAGAATTTAATTTAGTAAAATAAAGTAAATAAAGCTGATAAAATTTACTATAACATGGTATTTATTTTAAATCGCTAAACTTATATAGATTACAAAAAAAAATAGGTTTCAAAAGTGTGATACATACTTTTGCAGGTCAGTGTACTTATGAACTTGATTAGAATAAAATTTTAACTTGCTACTAATATGTAAATGAGTAATACTTAATCATTTGTGATAAGTTACAACCTACTAACTACATATCTTCTTAATTACGTGTAAATCAATCATTATAACACAAAAAGCTATAGATATAAACAGCCAAAACTCATTTCTACTATTTAAAGTTAGTGCTCGTCACTCATAGCATGAACGACACATATTAATAAATCTTTATTTTTAAAACAATAATATTATTTGCTATTTACAAACCTTTTTTCACATTTTGTTTTTTTTTTCTCTTGTTTCTATCGATAACTACTGAATGTTATTTTTCGTGTTATAAGACAATTGATTGACTACACCTTTTGCACACGACCTAATACTACTCATTCGAGGCTCACTTACCACAAAAAAAAAATTGTTTTAATTATTTTTTTTTTAAATAACCTGTATTTAGTCAGGTGCATATATTATGACTCATATCACACATTCTACCGTTTGACGACCTCTAAAACGGCAGATCTTTTAACAAATTTGTTTTCTTTGTGTACAATATGACGATTATTAAGTATTTTAAATGAAAAATCTAGTCTTAATTTAAATCGGTCTAGTAAGATTCTTCCTTTAATGAAAAAAAAATTGACGAAATGTAATTTTCTGCTCTTATATTATTCCAAATGTGAATAATCTAGCTAGCCAACCAATAAATTTTAGATGATTAATATTTAAAAGATATAGGTTAGAAAACAGTCATAATTAAATTCATTAAAAAACTAATGTATTCTATTAGTGTCGATCTCATATTTGAAGGAGTCCATAAAATTATTATTTATTAAAAGTAATTTCGTAGGTGACGCATGAGCTATAAATTTAAAGCTGTATATTAAAAAAAAGGTTTCATATTCTATAAGCTTTCCGCTAACAACCTTACACTCGTATCTATAGTCGAGTAGCAATAATATATTTAAATATAAGCAATATCTTAAGCAATTTTTAACTAATAGACGAGAATTTGTAAAAAGTAAGAACTGCCAAAAGAATAATGATAATATTCTAACTGCACTGTATGAAAATATGCTACCATGCAAGTAGTGGTTTGTAAACTTACTGATTATTAAAAAAGAATTAAAAAACAAAATTGTTAATTTATTAGAGTTTGCATAGTACGTGCGTCATCTACGAATATAATGTAAGGAAGTACATACCCAACTTAGTATATTAGTGATTGAATCACGAACACAAATAAAAGGCTAAAAATAATAATTCGTTTTTATACATATTTTGTTTTGCAAGAATTAAAAAAATATCACATTATTTTAATTTTTCGAAAACTTAGACTAGACTAGACAGAATGTTGTCATAATTATCACGAGTAAATAAACTAAATCTAAGCTCTTAACATTAAAAAAACAAGTGATTCTTTTATACAATTGATTTAGTCATTTCATAAAATATCTAATATCCAAACATCAGAGTTTTTAAATATTTACAAATTTATTTAAATTTAAGCGTCTATTACAGAATCTAATAGGAATACCTTTTTTGTTACTAACTAAGATTGACTATCTTTTTACCACATATAAATATGATTTAATATTTTCAAAACATCTACATTGAAATTTCTCTCTAGAAGTGTATTTCCGTATATCGTTTATTGCAATGTGAATCCCAATAATAAGAAATCTGCGTCGCCGAATATGAGAAGGTTTAATACAGTATTCCATTTTGCCTTTTAATATTAAAGATATATTGAATATATGCGGAGATATGTATTTCGGTTACTCTCACTCGTAAAGTCAATCTAATTTCATTTTTGGTGGCACTTCGTTGGTATAACATCTGAAGATCTACAGTATGTGAAAGTCTGTGTAGCAGTCAATTATATTAAAGTATTTCGCAGTGACTAGTCATTTTATATAATGCCCTTGGATAATTGCATTTTAAAAAGTTTCTATTAATTAAGATATTGTTTAGTGATCTCTTTAATCCACAACTTCGAATCTTAATTATTCTCACAACCTTTTTATAATATAATGAAAATAAGTTAAAAATGGAAGTATCACAATTAACTTTGGGTTCAATTGCTACTAAACTCACAATGTATTACTATATTCTTGTTCCACTCATAGTCTAAATACAACTTAATTAGTTTATTTTATTAATTTATCAGTATAAAACTCGACTATTTCTATGAATTTCAAACTATATCGTGTTTAAAGTTTAAGCAAATGAACAATGGCTAAAACGACTATTCTCTATTGTGCTTTTAAAAACTGCAATTTCATACTCATTCAATGTCTCGTCTAACTTTGTAAACTACATACTAGTTGTAATCGACTCGCGGGTTTAGGAGACAGCCGCAAGTTGACTAATGGTCGATCCAGATGTAACACCAGCGGTATTTGATACCCGGGCCGGCCGGGGCCATGCTAGCCTCCTCTAAGGCTAGTGGCAACGTGTGATAAGATTCTGAAGAGAGAAAAAAGACAATGTATGTAACACTAATATGTAATAACTATGTACGTAAAGTCGACAGCACGTCTGGTTATACAAGTCTGTCATATTTCTCCACTTGATTTTAAACCTTAATGCATTGGTGGTAAAATTGAAAATCACTTGTGAAAATTTGAAATATTATGGTAATATGTCGCGCTGATGTGCGGACATATATAAATAATAATAAACTAGCTATTTTCCAGGTACTTCATTCGTGTCCGCCTATCACCCAAACCATTTTGGTATAATAATGACAACTTTAAGCTCTAATGTTTTGAATTTGAAAATTTATGTCGGTAATGTCACAATTTTAATGGACGTTTGTGCAACTGAGCGTATGTTACCCTCGTATGATGTAGCTTCGAATATGTGGAAGAATTTTTAAAATCCCTCCAGTAGTACTTAATAATAATAATATAGATATTGTAAATGAACAAGTTTAAAAATTCATTAGTACCAAGTACTCAACACTTTTTCTTTATGGATACTTATAATATAGCACTATGAATGTAAAATTTAACACTTATAATGAATATATATATGCAATAAATATACATAGCAGAATACCAGCTATGCTATTCGAAACTAATTTTATAACAGAATAGCACTGTTGGCTACAGTATAAAAGGCAGACTAAAGCATCATAAGGTATTAACCTGTAACGACATCATTCGGCAGCCTTTCGGCAGTTGGGACATGTCTGCTGCTCCTGCAGCCAGGGCGTGATGCACTCCGAGTGGAAGTGGTGGGTGCACGGCAACGTGGTCACCTGCTGGTCCTTGAGTATCACGTCAAAACATATGGAGCACTCCTCCAGTGACCACGACCGCTCACGGCTGGAAACCAATATTAAGTAGAGATTAATATAAATTATATTTAGGGTTGGCAATCGTGCTACAATATATTTTGGGCCTACGTACTTTATGCTGTTGGAGTAATAATGGTACACAAAATACTATATTTTCACATTACACAAAGGCCTAACATTTAAACTCTCCGTTTATGATTGCGCCTAATGCGTTAACTTATGACGAATGCGACAGCTTAAATAAATAGTTTATGTTATGTAAATATCGTTATAAATTTCTGATGACAGCTCGTTATTATTTTTGAAGGGTTGTACGAAAAAAAAATACTTGCAATATGTCTTTTGAATACAACACAGATTCTATATATTATCCTAATACAATCTTCGGAATCTGTGGAATATGATAGTAGGCTGGAACGAATTTTTTTTTATTGAATAAAAATACTACATTATAACTGAATAAATGTTGATAATCTTAACTATATCAAACAATGGGACATCAATAAATTTCATAACACAGATTTTTAAATCCAATGTGTCTATAATAATGAAAATCAATAAATGTCGCATATTTTAGAGTTCTAACGTCATAAGCTAAAAAATGTTGACTATTTTCTAAATAAGATTTATTTCAAATTTATATTTAGACGAATTTATTATTATATAAATGCCCACAACCCATACACACTAACTAACTTTTGTTACCAACATTTATATAAATAAAATTACTTAGCAAATTAACGTCTCCAGCAGAATGTGTAGTTGTACAAACAGCATGTCAGGTTATACTATACTATCAAATGTTGCCGCTTGATTTTTAACCTTAATATATTACGGGTAAAGTACAAAATCACTTGCAGAAATATGACATATTGTGGTAGCCTGTCGTGCAGAAGTGTACGCAGGGCATGCACATTACACGCGAGGCATTCCGATTGAGGCACTTTCATATTTTATAGACGCGTTGGCCTCGTGATAGTTTCCGTGTAAAATAACAATCGGTCACACCGCACGACAAAACCAACAAACTACAACCTTTTTATAGGTAATTATACATAAAACTAGCTCTCCGTAACTCCCCTGTTATAAATAATAACATATGTCACCACCTGCGTATGATGTAACTTTCCATAGGTCAAAGAATTTTCCTAATCGGACCGGTATTTCTGAAGATTACAAACAAACGTTAGTAACTTTACATCATCATAATAGTTATGTATATGTTACGCTCAAAGATCGAAATCACTCATTGAGAGAAAACATAGTTAATAACGCGTTGTGGTCACAATAAAATATCCACATAGCGAATTTCGTGTTATGGCTCTTATGACGCTCGCGACGCGTTGTGGCGTTCTCAGAATTATCACATAGCGACAGCGGCGGCTATAGGGGGTAGCGAACGGGGCAATCGTCCGGGGCCTCGCTCTTCCGGGGGCGTCGCCAACCAAGCCAACAAACAAAGCAAGTTTATAAATACATACATACATTTTTTTAACAATATTTTTTTTTTATTTTATTTTTTATTTTGATCCAAAATTATTTATGCATATTATAACATAGCAGTTAATTAAAAATAAAGTTAGTTAACTCAATCATTCATACTGAATTTATACAGAAATAACATTAATTTTTTGAAAAATATAAAGATTTGCCACTTTAAATATCCATTTTGGTTTTTCGGGTTACGACGTGTTTTCTTTCTAGCGTCGATATATTAAGATTTTAAAAAATCTTTCTTTTAGTTAAAACACGGGAGATTGAAAAAGTAAGTTTACGTCAATCTATCGCAGGCCCATTGCGGAGTTATAACTGTTAAAGACTACAAATACAGCCGGACCAACAACGGCCCCCTTAGCCCGAGGAGACATGCATATCAAATTTTTTGTCTACTGTCCGCTAAAAATCCTTTACAAAACTCGAGTACTATACTATATACACTACTATATACACATACTAGATCCGACGTTTATTTCTAAACGAAATTAATATATTGAACTATTATAATATACGAAAGTGTGTTAAAATATACGTAAATATATCTTAAAAACCAAAATTAATCAAATCCTTAGTCAGTTAATAACGTATAACGTAAGCAACATTATAGCGTGATATGAAGTAATTAAAAGAAATTTAAAATTTTCATTCAATCAAAATTAATCTCTCACTTTCATTCATAAAAATGCAAATGCTCTAGGATTTAGTACCCCCATCCAATGCATGCAACACTTATTAGAATCAGTCAAATATACAATTAATAAAATAAAGCGAGACACTTATTATATATAAGAAACATGCTTTGATATACAGTTGCACAAACGTCCATTAAGTTTTTAAGACGACTTTAAGCTCCAATTAATGTTTTAAATTTGGGAATTTGTCGCTTTAATGGTTTGTGCAACTGGCTGATAGTGTTACTATTCATAAAATTTACTATCATCTTCATATCTGAAAAATATTAGATCTATTATTAATGAAAAATACCCAAAAAATCCACTTTGTCCCTGGCACTCCGAGATGAACTCAACTCCGAGACTAACCACTGCTACCCAGGACCTAACAGGACTGACGAATTTTTCAAGCACTTGTTACTTTTTTCGCTACTACAGAGCGTATTTTCGTCAATGTTCATGTAATCTATACCAATAAAGTTGCATTTTGGTAAAAAAAAAAATGTTAAAACTATTGTTATCTAATGTCATATAAAATAGGGAATTCTCATGACGACAATCATATCGGTTAGAAAACGATAACAAAATCTATTAAGTTAGTAAGGAAGTATACAGGCTACAATTACATAAGTGTAGGAATGCTAAAATAATATTTGAACCCGTTTTACCGAAACGATAAACAGTCTAACACCCGTTTTCACTAACCTAAAACAAAATATAGCTTTACTAGGAAACGCCTAATCTTATGAATCGCCTAAGCAGATTAGTTTTTTTATCCCTCGACCCAGGTTCGTAATTATCAAGATAATTATTTTTTTGGATAATTATACGATAAATATTTCATTATTATAGAATAGAATAGAATAAATCTATTCTATTATTATAGGTAGTATAGTGGCAACAATTTTTAAATTACAGAAAAACATCCATTATAATTTAAATATACATACAGATTAACAAAAAAAAAACTAACTGTGAAATCACATTGAACATTGAAATGAAAATATAAATGAAATATTTATTTTGATAAAAAGGTAATAATCAATTTTTTTATAGGTCCATCCTAGACAGATCCTATCAGAAAAACATATGTATTTGATAGTCGTTTAAAGATGATGCACGTTCAATTAGAAGTCCTAAAGCACAAAAAGAGTTTGTGTAGTGTTCTATAATTATCAAAATCCTATTTGTGATGTGTCATATTACGGAAATGCTAGCGCAAGGCGCCGTTTAACGCATGGTAAGACTTTAGGCATTGCTTAATGTCGCTAGGTGGTACTTTAGGAGATTCATAATAATTTAGGCGATAGATCTAAGCGATTCCTAAGTTTAACGAAAACGGGCATAAAAGTTTTTAGGGACCGACCGCCTAACTTCCTCGCTATAAGTCTAGCCATAATGGTTTTATCAATGAAAACGCTAATTTTCTTTTTAAACGTTAATTACTTGTTTTTTATTAGCTTTATGGTTCATTTCTATTTTAGAAATAGATTTACTTGTCTAAATTCGCCTTTTTGTGTATATTTTATTTTAGTCAAACTTAAATAATTCAGAAGAATACAACAACCAAAATCATTGATTAAATATTTAAATAATAAACCTAGAAAATTATAAAAGAATAATACATACATCTTGATAAAATAATTTTATTGCTAGAGTTATAGAGAGAGTTAAGTGGTCGCTCTACTATTTTGTCTTTTGCTATTTCATTATTATTAACAAATAACAACTATTAATGATTTCATCCCAACACTTCTGACATTGACTATACCAGTTAGTGTTTAACTTAAAAAACTAATAAATTAGTCTTACAAAGCTTGATCTCTTAACATGATCATCTGCTCTGCTTCAGCTCTGCAATTATTAAAAGATATAGTAAGTCAATATTCTAAAACTTAGACAATAATGAAAAATATAGATTTTGACAGTGATAAACAAAACTCCATCATATTCACTTACTAATTAAGGTCTGATTTATATAACAGTGAAATTAGAATAAACGGGTTTTTATTACAACCAGTTTATTTAGACTTCTTCTTATAATTTTACCACACTGCTTATTTAGAAGTAAAGTAAAATTGTAAGTATTCAAATTATAAGTGCTTGGTAAAATTAGATTCTAAATACCTACATAATGCCCAGGCAGTGTAAATACAATTAGGGGGGCGGCACCATAATCATCATTATATAATGATATAATACCTACAACAAATTATAATAATGCATTGCAAAAATATCGTGTTATAAAGTGCCCTGCCCTGATAAAAAAAAATCTCAATTCTGACCTGACAATTTGTCTAACAACAAAACCATAACATATACTTTTTCTTAATAAAAGTGACAAACATTTTTTATTTTCACTTATACCTAAAATTATTATAGAATATTAATCAACATAAAAAGTTAGAACAAATATCTTCAAACTTATCTGAAACAATGATATGCATATGACAGGTTATCAAACACTGGCAGCAAAAACCAGACACTGAACGTCACACAATCTGTATTAAGTTAAAAGCCTCGTATATTATTTTTTAGAATTAAATAAGTATAGTACTATTGACACTTACGTTCTAATATGATGACTTCTCCTCGGACTAATGTAAGATCCTAAACTGTTAAACAAATTCCTAAGAGGAGACTGTGGCAACATCCCACCATCCGGTACACCTAATGAAGAGTCTGTCACATCGTAGTCAAGAGTATCAAGGTCAGTCGGTGAATTTGTCACATCATAATCAGCAGGCAATATGTTGATTGAAGACGAATTCTGATATCCACTCGCCAAGGGACTGTCTACCATTGAATTAACACTCTGATTGCTATAATTACTTGTTCCTTCCATGGAATATGTTAAATTTTCATCATTGCTAGTTTCATCTACAGAATAAGTTAAATTTTCTGAATCTGAGCTTGTGACACTTGAAGAATTTGGACAATGCCACCATGGAAATATTGTATTAGATTCATCATCGTAACTAGATTCTTCATCATAACTAGATTCTTTATTAAACGTGCCATTTATTTCATTGTCAGAATCCTCAGATGTGTACATGCTGGTATCAGTTGTACTATTTTCCGATATTGTGATGTATGAATTGTCTTCGTCATCATGCAATATGTTACTAATGAGATAAAAGTATTATTAAAAACTAATGAAATAACTTTGTTAAACAATGTTGTTTTAGTAGGGTAGACTTACCTATTTTTGACACTACTAGTAATTGACACTAAAAGAAAATAGAATATAATGAAAATAATATTATGCCAACATATTACAATATTTATTTTAACAAGCAAAAACATTTAAGTTATGCACACAATTATTTTTAAAGTGTCAATAATTGGGAATTTTACCCTACTTTTAATTTATTTCTAATGATATGATACCTAATGATATGATACCTAATGATCTATAGCTTGTTGAATACATGTTAAAAAATGGTAAATAGTTAATGTATTAGGTATCACAAATTCATATTAGAAAAATGTTCATAAATGCAACATTCAAGAAGAAATAGTGGATGTTATTTGTATTATTGGATATCCTTAAAATGCTACAGTCCTCAACTAATTTTGTTTATTATATGGGGTGGTAGATCTTCAACATTGACTTAACAATAATGTCACAAAATGTCATTGACTTCAGGTAATAGGGCCTTGAGAAAAAGATTCTTATTACCTACATTTAGCATTAAGTATATCTTTTTTGCCACTGCATCAAACAGAATTTTTGCAACTGACATTTATCATAATATTTACTTTCAAATCAACTTGACTAAAAAAATATATATGTATGTTTTTTTATACATTAACACGCTAATTAAGTCCTTATTTAAGACGGGAAGTAGAATGTGTAACACATTTCATATAATTACAGGCAAAATGTCAGAATTTAAGGCCACAAGAACTTTTTTACTTTTCAAAGATTTAATATTAAAATATATGAAGCAAAATAGGCTTAATAGAATAATATGACAAAATTTTGCTTTCGTGATCCTAATTTAAAAACGAAGGTAGCCTACATTTTTAGAATGTCAAGATAATGAAGAATACTTTTGTATCTATTTCCCACAAAACTATATGTTGCAAAGCAGAAGCCAAGCGGTGCAAATGCCAAATGATAATGTTATAGACTGTACTTACAAGGCATGTGGTTGTTCACAAGACCACTGCGTGGTAGATCCACCTGCTTCAGGATTCTCCGGCCTCTTGCTAAAGAAGTAGTACAAAGCAGCCCCAACGCCGACGCCTATAGCCGCAGCCGCGAGCCCGAGACCACGGCTTGGGCAGCTGTTTTTCTGCCGATCTTCTTCACGAACGTTCATGACTAAAAATAAAATAATGCGCGTTTGATATGACTGTTTTGCAATGTTGCGTGTGGATTATTTTTATTTTTTGACGTTTTACAGTCAGTGTGACCAACTTCTTGTTCTAGTGTATAGTATAGTATTATACTAGTCCCTGTTTATGCCCACCCATATTAACTATACAGCCCAAAATCAAATCAAAATCTTAATAAATGAAAATGTTCGAAAACCTTTTTAAAGAACATAAGACATTATTAAATAACATGGTTTTGTGAGTATCGGTAGAGTTATATGTTATTTTATTATTAAATTATGATAGGGTATCTTAAATTTAATATTAATACAACACCGACGAAAAACTACTATGGAAAAGCACTGAAACATATTTTACTGGAATAAGCCTTAGGAATAAGTTTTTCTAGTCTAGATACTAAGTATCGAATCAACGTTCAACGCGTATTGAGTATTTAGAAGTATCGACTTACTCGTTACTCACACAAACTCCGAGACTTGGAGACGAGGACGTGGACTCGGGCGACCAACGCGTTTCAAGTACTTTCCAGTATTTAGAAATCTCGATCTCATATACTAGCAAATAAAAGTGTATACACATATAATCGAAAAGATAGTAGGGTATAGATAGTGAAATCCACAAAAAGTAACCTTTCTAGTTTCTCTTACTAAAGGTTTGTGCAGTCCTCCGGTTTCTTTTTTCAAGCTCGTCAAAGTACATATAAAATACCTTACAATTGTATTCATGTGCAACTCCCAACCGACAATGACTTCGAATCAAACCTTACACACTCGCGATATCTTAGGACAAAATTGTGTCGCCAATCTTCGTGGATGTCATTGTCTAAAACCGCGTACTTCTAAATACGTCTTGTGAAATAGGTTTACGGAATAAGTATTTTGGCGTACTCATACTTACAAGATTCAGTACGTGTTTGGCCTAGTACGTCTCATCTCTACTAAGGAAATCCCCCAATTGTATGTAGGGTTGCCTACATTTTAGGACCATTATCGGCGTAAACGACATTCTAACAGAAAATAAGGCTTTTTGATTGGGCTTTCATTTACTATTACTTTTAAGCAAGTTTTAAGGTATAATTTCAACTTTCTAATTAAAAAGTAAGAAAAATGTTTGGATTTTAATATTAAACTTCACGAAAACACGTACACTACTAAACGAACACATTAATATATCGGAAAACAAATGGCTATAACAGTTTTTTGTCACTTTCTTTCATCTTAATTATCATGCAATATGGTAGCCCTACAGTACTTTCGGGAAACCCCCTTTATTTCAGTCTTTGTTCTTTAAAAATCTTCATCTTCCGCTGGCAACACTGGTAGTCTGGTAGTTGATGTTTGTTTGTTGGATATCACGGGCCGTAGCAAGCCAGTGGATATCGGTTTGTTGTTCCGAAAAAAGAGACATATTACGTGATATTATTGACGTTTCTCAGTAAGCTCCACTGTTATAAAGGTAGGTCAAAAATTAATAATTTGGCCATGCATATAAATATCAAATACTTTTTGCGTATATACGGGCGTATGCTAAGTTACTTTATTATCAACATTCATTCAGCGCACGCAAATCTTTTTGTTTGATTTGTATAACATATACATGCAGCAGCGCAAAATAGCGTGTTAATAGTTCTATACAATTTCGAACTTTTTTTTAGTTGATTTAAGGTCTAAAATTTACTGTACTTTGACAGTTTTCTATAATTTTTGACCAATGGCTACATACTTATTTAAATTTCAAACTTTTTACCGAGATGTGTATTAAATAATATTCACACTTAGTTTGCCGATTGTATATAAGAATGTATTTCTTTATAACGTGGTAGGTACCAATCTACTTAATATGCTGAAATATTTTTGGCACATTACTTTGGCACTTACCTATTTAATTGCTAGTGTATAATTTAGGAATAGGTATCTGTTTAAATCACATTCTAGATTATACATATCTTTATAAACTTACATTTAGGTATCTTTGCTAAATGTAAATCCTGGACTTAGTCAACTTAGAAATTGTAATTCATATAGGTGAGTACAACCAGTGGGTACTCATTCCTCGAGATTTCTTTCAGAGTACATACAGCCGTCTGTACTATGATAAAATTCCATTGAAAGTCTGTCATTGCTTGAAAAGATAAAAATGAGATACACCATAGTTTTGTTGTCTTCTAAATGTTTAAAGAAAACCAACCATTGATCTCTATTGCCCGTTGGGTGACCTTGAGCGTTCTTATGAGACTCGCAGTGAACGACAAATATACACTGATACAATATGATTTCATAATATAAAATCCCGCTTCACAAACCAAGGCAGGAGGATAGTGGTGGTGAAGAGGAAGGGAAGAAAGATCCTATTAGTTAATTTTTCCTATGTCATGCTTTAAACTGAATTTCGATAACTTATGACGACTGTTCCAGTGTCTCGAATTTTATTTCTTCAAAGGTTGCGAGCAGCGAGTCGGTACTAACGTACTCCTAACATACTTGGTCCTAAATTCAATGGTTCTCATAGTGAAATTATTTAATTAGATTAAGAAATATTGTATTGTTCCTATGTGTACCAACTCCAGAGAAAAAACAAAACACTCCAAAATTGTTTTTTTCTATTCCATATAAGAAATATATTCAGAAAAAATATGAAAAGAGCAGGCTATTCTATTTCTCCAAAAACGAAACTTAATCTATTTTCAATTTACTCCAAAAAAAAAACGCATTTTTCGATAACTTACGCTGCAACGGAGGTAGGACGTGACACTGCCTCTGATGCACAGATAATCTTCAAAATTTTGCGGCTTTTCGATCGAGGACAAAATATAGTCCTTCAGGTGTCATGATTCATGACACCTGAAGGACTTCATGATTCATCGTATGAGTTATACATCCAAACATTACACTTATTCTTTATATTACAGAGTATGGAGACGTTGATTAAAGGCATCATAATAAGTGCAGCGGTTTTGGCGACCGCTGTGGCTGTCGTCGTAGAATGGTGGCAGTACAGGAATGTGCCACAGTCATACTCCACCCACGGGCGACGCGCCAGGAGTGACTGAGTTATCTGCACAACTATTACTTAATGCCTTCCTCGTCACAAATGTTAGTATGTTACCAAAACTGATTCAAATTATCAGTTATAGCTCCATTGTGGATGAGGCAACATATAGAAGTGATACAACCCACTATAAAAACCGAGCGAAGTATATCCTAATACTAAGTGAATTTGCTATTAATATTTTTTAGATTTACATTTCATGGGCTTTGACTGCGATAGCACAAGGGCGGATCCGGGGGGCGGTTTTCTTATGACTTGACCACGACTATGTGACCCCCTGGCGCCAAAGATGGTACCGCCCTTGCACTAGCATGAATGACCTTTAGGTGATTGAAAAAAGAGTATTATATTTTATTTATTTAATGGTTTTTATTAGTTCTCGTATCTATAGTTGTATCGAGAGAAGTAATTACTTGAGAAAATGTCATAATATAAGTGGATATTTTTAACAAATAAGCAAGAATTTGAATTAAGTAAAAACTGTTAATAGCTTATAAATATTATTCTTAGTATAAATAGTTTTTATTTCATTCAATTCTTGTTAATTTTTAAAAAATATTTGCTAAGTAATTAATTACTTTTACTCGACTATTCATACGGGTGTCATTCTTCTTGGATTCGTCGTGATGTACAGACGCGTGCGTAAACGTTCGAAATAATATTGTCACGCTGACTGTTACACACGTATATTAAGTTAGTGATTAATAGTTACATGAGAAGTTATTCATATTAGTTATTTGGAGTAATAGCTGTCTAATTATTGGTTTTAAAGTTATTCAAAGCTATAGTTCTAGGGTAAAATTGTTATTTTATTACAATCACTGAGTGATAACAGAAAATGATAAATAATTATCACTATATTCATATTAAAAGCTACTTTCATGTCACATAATTGTCATAAAACATTACCTTTTGAAGGCGCCTTAAAAGCCGATGTTTTGCATAAATTTAACCACCCAGGATATTCTATGACGCTATAGTATATTCGGTAACTCTACGTATACCTTTAGTTTTACTAATCAAACATAAATCATAAAAAATCATATTTTCTAACGTTAATATAATTTTGTTTCAGATTACAATATGCTTGGAAACTTAAAAAAGCACAAATATTTATAATATACATATTCTCCTTGATATCATGTCATTTCCAATTGGTACTTAGGTACCGTACCTAATAAGATCACATCATGCTTGTGCTAAAAGACAAAAAACCAATCAGTAAAGGTCACGGGAGATTTTTCTCAGAAAAAAAATATGAACATGGCGTTCTTGATATATAAGTGAATTTGCTATTAATATTTTTTATGATAACACAAAGGCGGATCCAGGGGTCGGTTTTCTTATGACTTGACCACGACTATATGACCCCCTGGCGCCAAATATGGTGCCGCCATTGCACTAGCATGAATGACCCTTAGGTGATTGAATAAAGTATTATATTTTATTTATTTAATGGTTTTTATTAGTTTGACGCGTTCGTTCTATCACTAGACAGAAGGTTAAGACCAGTAGTTCTTAACCTTTTCCTGATTATTGCTCCCATAATCTACTAACTAATATTACCCATCATCCAACACTGCGGGGGTGTCTATCTGAAGACGTCCCTCTTAATATCTTAAGATACAGCCATGATGGTTTTAATTTGGTCTTCATTTCACGTTTTACAGAGTAATCATCCATAGGTTAGAAACCACTGGTTTGGACTAAACAAATATAAATACAGGGCAGGCAACAGTCGGCTGCTGCGGGCAAGTAGTTGAAATGATTTGCAGAACTACGTCTCTCGAGCTCAATTACAGTTTCCTCTTCATGAACATAGCCGCGAATGCACTTTTATAAATGCACTTTGGCAATAATTAATAGTGCCGTCCTTTTTATACCATAATTAATTATAAAAACATAAATTAGTCTAGAATAGTATTATCTACTAGTA